CCGCCGCCGTCCCCCGCCCGCCTCATTAGCATAGCAGCTGCTCGCCGAGCGGGACCGCGCTCTGGAGAGGGCAGAGGCCTCGAGGATGAATGGGGCCACGGCTTTGGAAGGGGCGGGAGAAGAAAGACCGACAGACGGACTCGCGGAGGGACGGTCGGAAGGACGGCCGAACAGAAGAATACGCCACGCGGGGGGCTGGGGCAGTGGCCGGGCGGGCGGGGCGGAGTGTGCGGGAGGGGGGCGGCCTCCCCGGACCCCGAGCCCCAGGAGGGTCTCGCTGGAGGCCTCGGAAGGAGCAGTTGCGGAGGTTCCCAGACCTCCGACGGCCTCTTCTGTGGCCTGCGCCCTCACACTGCGGCCTGTGGCTTTGTTTCCCAGCTGTTCCGGCGCGGGGCCTCCTTTTCCGACCTTCAAGACTGGTGGACGCCGCCTCCTCCTCTTTGCAGGCTCCAGGCAGCACCGGGAGGCAGCTGGCCCTCCCCAGGTCACAGGGCTGCTGTCCCTGTGTTCTTCTGCACACCCCTCTATCCCTCCTGTGCTGAGCTACAGGCCTTTGGGAACAGACTGACCCCGGGCAGCCCCTTCCCTCTCTTCTTCCTCCCTGGCTTCCAAATCCGGTCCTCTCTCCTTGGGCACCACTTTCTAGCTGACCATCTTTCTCTATTTCCAACTGTGTTTCCTGCGTGCTGTCAGGGTCAGATCACAGGCAGACAGGAGCCCATGGCCCTGCTGCAAAGTCTAGTGGGGCAGGCCCTGCTCTCACTAGTTTAGTGGGCCTCCTCTCTCCCTATGAGGGTTTCCCAGCAGCCCACGCCCAGCCTGCAGCACTACCTCCCCTGGGTCTGCTCAGTGCCTGGGGCACCCCCACTAGCCTGCACAGGCACTCTTCAGGTCTGGAGGCTGGGCAGCTGTGCCTTCTTTTTCACCCTGGCCACCAGAGACCGGCATAGGAGGGGGGTGGGGCCTTCCCAAAGACTCCATTGGTCAATACCTGCCAACACCCACCAGAACGGAGGCAGTCCACTATTGGCTGGGCACCCAGGCCCTGGAAGGACAGTCTGCCCCAGACACACCAGTCAGAGACACACAGCAGCTTAAATCTTATGCCCATTAGCAGGGACTCCCCCTTTGTCCCCACCTCAAGCACCCTGTCCCCTCCCAGTAGTCACACTTTGGGCCACAATTGCTCAGGCAGTCCCTCTTCAGAGTTACTCATTCTGGAAAGTGCTGCCCAGGGTCCCTTTCTAAGACAAGAGGGCTCCTGTGAAGGAGTCTCCTGTGTCTCATCCCCTGCCCAGTTCCTCAATTCCCAGGGTTGGCTGCAAGCAAACCTCAGGAGAAAGGAAGTTCCACCAAGGCTCTACCCCTGAGTCCCCTCTCCAGGGGCCTGGTGTCTGTGCCTAAGAGAGACTGTCTTCCCAGGGGGCAGCATGGAGACTTCTCAGTCAAAAGTGTCCCTTAAGGGAACTGGAAACATTCCCTTGGGGTGGCGGCTCTGTGCCCAGGAGGCACTAGTGCCTCTCTGGAGTGGGGCAATTCAAGGGTGTTGCAGGATAGTGGACACTGGGCCCTGTCCAGTGATGGCATCTTCTTCCAAGGTCTTTCTGCCCTATGTGAAATCAGTCCCTGGTGGGGCAAAGGGGTGTAGAGTGAAGCCATGGCCCAGCACACCCTTGGGTGCCCGAGCAATTCTCAGGCTTGGCTCATTCTCCAGATGCCCAGTAGCATCCAATTTTTTGTGGGGATTCTCCCGTGGCAGGTTGGGCAGCTGCCAGCTGGCCCGGGGCAGAACTTCCCAAGGCCTGGCTTGGTGGGGTGCTGGGCTGGTGGGTACCCTTCCCTCTCCATACAGCTCATTAGCATCACATAGTCCACTCACCTCCACAGACAGTGTAGCCACTGTCCCAGGCCAATGCTGGGTGGCCAGAAATGCCTACTCAACCAAAAGAAAATGCATCTGCAAGGTCTTCAAGGGTAGGAGCACGACCCTAACAGGGACTGGCATGGGTGCCAGCCTGGGGAGGGCAGCTGCCACCCTGTGCAGGGGTCTGAGAGTATCTGGAGACAGCTCCATCTCCTAACACTCAGAACAGTCTGGCAGTGAGACTTCCCCTGCCCTTTCTCCAGGGTCTCCTCTTTGCAAGCTGCTGTTGCTGGAGGGTGGGGGGTCTCCCCGCAGGGCCCCAGGGCATATTGGGATGGGGTGAAAGTCTCTCTCCTCCTGCACACCTGGGGACCCCCAGGCCCCAAACTTGCTCCCAGAGGATGACCCAGGTCTCTCTACCTGGGAAGCACAGCAAACACACCTCAGGAGTGAGCAGCCATAATGTCCCCCCAAATCTAAGACTCCTGTGTGCATCTGGCAAGGAGGGAAGAAGGGTCGGTCCCTTCCAAGAGCTTAGCTCTCAGGCTGGGTGGCAGGCAGGTCTTTCTGGGATCTCGGCAGCCTTGCCACAGAGCTCCAGTGCCCTCAAGGTGGCTGGAAGGGGGGCAGCCCTGGGCCCTCACGAGTCCTGTGTGGCCGGCTTGGATTTGGCTGTTGAGTGGGGCTGGACAGTCGTTTTCCAGGAGCCGACTTTAGGTGATGGCAAACAGTGAGCCCTGCTGACTTCATCCCAGAAGGGGGCGTCTTACACTGGCCAAGAACAAGAAACAACAAACTCATTTTTTTTTAATATAAAAAGATCAATGAAAAATTTATTTATAAATTTTTCATGCTGGGCTACAAGTCTATATCGTACACTCAGGATGTGCTGCAGACTCTGTCCAGTTGGAAGTGATCAAACCCTGGCCCATAGCAGCTCCAACATAAGCCTAGGAGTCTTAACATTAATTAACGTGCTGCTGACCCTGCGTGCAAAAATGGGGAGCACTTGAGGACACAGGTGGGTGGAGGCCCTTTGTGCTGGCTGGTCACGTGTGGCCTCTTCGGCTTTTTAAGGAACGTGTGAGAAGAATATGTTGATAATGTCAGTGAAATAAGCAGACATTGAAACAAGCACAGATTACTCCAAAAGGAGTAATGCGACTGGTTTTTTAAAGTGACATGTTTCTTTCTCTTTTTCTTTCCCTGCTCCTCCCTAATCTCAGGGGAAACAGGGTCACCTTTCCTCCCCATCCTAGGCAGAGTTATCTGTCCCTGAGCACCCACCCTCCATAGGAATGAAGGAATCCAGACCTGGGGGAAGATCTCAGAAATGACTGTCCCCCAAATTAACAAGTGAATGACAACCCTGGACAGAGAACAGGTGGGATGTAGCCTAACAGCCTCCTGCTCCTGCTGAGGGGCAGAATCCCAGCCTCTGTGTTTTTCTTTTGCTACCAAAGCAATAAACCTTCTTTTTCCTTTTACTCAAAACCGTGTCTTCGTTACTAGGTTGGCATTGGGGACAAGAACTGAGCATCCTGTCTTGAGATATCTGGTGGTGGCCAGTTATCAGAGCAGTGGCACAATCCTGTCTCGTTCTGTTCCCAAGCAGTGGGAGGTGACACTGGTGTCCCCATTTTTAAACAGAAAATGAGGCGCTTGAGTCGGACCTCCCACCCCACCCCAGGGTCCAGTGCTTCCTGTCCTTTTCCACTGGTTCTCCGAAACTCTGAGGCAGCCTTCCGTGTCAGCTTCCCATCGTGGTGACAAAACACCTGAGGCCATCAGCTTGGAGGAGGAAAGATTTATGTAGGCTCCTGGTTTCAGAGGTTTTGGTTTGCGGTCGTCAGCTGGCTCCTGGGCAGAAACATCATGACAGAAGGGCGTGGTGGAGAAGAGCTTCTCAGCTTGTGCATCCAGGAAGAGGAACAGGAAGGTGCTGGACAGTGAAGTCCTCCACCCAAGGACCCACTGCCTCAACCAGGTCCTCCTCCTGCAGTTTCCACCACCCCAGGAGTCCGTCCAGCTAGGAATGTCCCTCTGTGGACACTGAGGCAGGGCCCTTGGTCAGGCACCTCCCTGAGCCCTACTTCTTCATGCTGCAGGCTGCCCTGGGGACCAAGCCCTCAACACATGAGCCTCTGGGGTTGTTCCAGATCCAGACCCTAAGAGCACCACAGGCCCACATCACGGGAGGACGCTGAGGCACAGAGAGTGACAGCTTGTCCAAGACCACAGCCCGTAAATGACAGGCCCAGATTTGAACCTGGTCAGCGGGGTTCTGAAGCCTATGTTCTTTTTCTAATCCATGTGGCCTTCTTAAAATGACTGATTAAGCACATTTCAGGATAGAGGGAAATAAGCACTCACCTCTGACTTCTAAATAACAACCTTCCCTTGTGCATTTCAAATGGATTCCCATTTACAAAAAGCCACGCTCTCTTTCCAGACACATGGGTTGAAATAAATAGGGCCACTGGTCTTAGAGTGCATCAGCTGGGTCCCCTGCTGGGCAAGCGCTGCCCTCCCACAGCACCCAGAACATTTCCACCTCTCCTGCAGCTGAGAGCCCCCAGGACCTCCAGGTGAGAGTGGAATCGCCTCTGGAACCGTCAGCATCCTCCTGGAACCGGCTGCTTTCTCTAGTTGAGTGACGTTAAAATCACGGGGACTAATTAACACAAACACCAATGTCAGCAGAGAAGGAGGCCCGGGTGGTGGATTCCAGGCATTGGGGTCCAGCCGCACACTGCCTCACTGGGCTGCTGGGCATCTCCCCAAGAAAGACAAATTCATGCCTGTGCCTGTGAAAATCTGTTTTGACAGGGACCAGTTGGAGAATGGGACTGTCCCTCTGTATGGATTTATGACTTCATTGGAGGGGGGAGGGAGTGAAGGAGGAGGAAGTGAGGGAAGAAAGGCAGGAGCAATGCCAGTCACCAGACCTGCACCCCACATGCACTGCCCAGCAGGTCCCGTCTCAGCAGGTCTCAGCTCCCTCTGGAGAAAGAAGCAATGTAGGCCCTAGAAACAGCCTTCTAGAAGCTCAAGGCCCAGAACTGTGCTTCCCACCAAGTGCAGGGCCCAGCAGCTTCAAGGTCTTGGGGTGGGAGCTTAAGGAGGGGAGAGAAGGACCTCCATAGACAATTAGGCAGGGTCCTGTCTGTGCGTGGAACAGCCACTGTCGCCTTTGACCTCAGATTCCTTCCATGGGTCGCTGCTAGGTGGCAGAGGGCACAGGGCCTGGCAGGGCCTTCTCAGACAGCAGGGCCAAAGGGCACCTAGGTGCTGTATTCCACTTTAGGAAGGAAGTCCAGGAGCAGCAAATTGTCCAAGCATGCCCAGCCCCAAGTCCCTTCCCTTGACCTTTCAGAGATGCTGCTAAGGTCCCACCAGCAGCTGGAGGCTGGAAAGATGGTGGGTGGCCCCTGCAGCAGCTGCGGAGAGCTGATGGAAGTCCTTCTATAATTCCACCAGAGCCTCCCAAGGAGTCTGTAGTTGAAAACTCAGTCCTTGTCCCTGATGTCAATCCAATAATGAGGACACAGTTTTGGGAAAAAGGAAAAAGAAGGTTCGTTGCTTTGGTTGCAAAAGAGAAACTCAGGAGATCCTGTCTCAGAGGCTGTGATTGGGCCCCTCAGCAGGAGCAGGGGGCTTTTAAAGAGGTGATTCAAGGCTACATTCCTCTGGTTCTGGGTCTGGAGCTGTAACTCACTTGTCAATTTGGGAGACTGTCATTTCTGAGATCTTCCGGTGCCCTCCCCAAAGTCTGAATTCCTCTGTTCCTCTGGTGGGTGTGTACTCAGGGAGAGATAATTCTGCCTAGGGTGGGGAAGAAAGGTCATCCTGTTCCTCTGAGATTAGGGAGGAGGAAAGATTAGAGAGGAACAGGGAGCGAGGAAGATAAAGAAACCGGTCTATTTTATTTATTTATTTATTTTTTTTGAGACAAAATTCTCTTGAAAAGTTTATTTAACATTCCTAATAATAAACCATTCAACTTTGCAGTCTGTATGAAGTTTTGTTTTGAGATTAAATTTATTTGCAAACCCTCATGTAATCCAATTGGATATGAATAAAGTTTTTAATATCAAGTTTTTAAATAAGTCATTTGAATATCTGCCTTTTCCTATGGGATAACAATAATATTACTATCATATTTTTCTTATTTTTATTACAATTAGTTCTTTACAAGATTATTACTAACAAATCCTGATTTCTAGTACAGGTTGAGAATTCCTTAATCAAAAATGCTTGAGCCCACAAGTATTTTGGAATATTTATACATATATAATGAGATATGTTAGGGATGAGACATAAGTCTAAACATGAAATTCATTGATGTTTCCTATATTTTTACACATAACCTGAAGGTAATTTTATACCTTTTTATTTTAAAAATCAGTTGTGCTGGCAGAGCAGCAAGGGCCAAGTCAAAGCATAAAGTGGGCACTGTTACAAGTTTGTCCAGCCTCTGCAGAGCCACCCATTGGTTCAGAGTGGCGGGCACAGAGTTGGGTGACAGCCTTTATGATGCCCCGTCCTCCCTCCCACCTTTGCCCCACACCCCAAGGTAACTCCGCCTCCCGCAAAGAGCCTCGCTGGCTGCCTCTGGATCACCCAGAGCTTCCACTCACCCCATGGGCAGTCACCAAAAAGCCCGGCAGCCGAGCCTCAAACAATTCTATTATTTTGCCTCTTGAGAAACTTCATAAGCTATTGTACCACAAAATAAAACATTTTGCTGTTAAAATGAACAATTATGGCATTTGCAGGTAAATGGATGGAGTTGGATAATATTATGCTAAGTGAAGGTAAGCCAATCCCAAAAAACTGAAGGCCAAATGCTTTCTCTGATTAGTGGATGTTGATCTATGATGGCAGGATGGGGCCTGGGAAGAATAGAAGAACTTTGGAATTAGGCAAAGGGGAGAGTGGGGAGGGGCTATGGGGGAGGAAAGAAGGTGGAATGAGATGGGCATCATTACCCTAGGTCATGTATGGTTGCACAAATGGTGTGCCTCTACACCGTGTACAACCAGAGAATTGAAATGTTGCGCTCCATTTGTGGATGATGCATTGAAATGCATCCTGCTGTCATGTACAACTAAGTAGAACAAATAAAAATACTAATAATAAATTTAAAAATGAACAATTGGAGCTCAAAAGAATCATTGAGATAAAAACATGATTTTTGAGCATAAAAAGAAAACTCAGGAGAGGCAGTAAGGGAGAAGAGATGGTGTCAAACTGTGAAGGACAATGGCCAATGTGACCCAGTTCAGGGAGGGCTCAGCCTCAGGGACAGAGAGGAGAAGTGGTGGAAAGAGGGCAGTGGTGTAGGACAGGGGTCCAGGAGCCCTGCTCTCTCACTCACATGGTCTCAGAGGCCAGGAGGGAGCTGCCATGGGGGCAGGGAGACGAGAGCCAAGAGACAAGAAGTCGGCCGAGTGGAGACAGATGGCAACGCTTGCGAAAGGCTGGGAAGAGTTTTGAAGACATTGAGGAACTCCAAAGACAAAGAGGAATTGTTTAACTTTCTTGTCTGGCTGGCCCCAAGCCACTCCAGAAGATGGAATGGCAGCAGCCAGCAGGACACCGGAACAGGGTGAAGAGAAGTGGGCCCAGAATCTGTCCCCAGCCAGAACGGGAGTGGGTGGGAACGGGAGGAAGCTCAGGAGGCCCTGCAGCAGAACCCAGGGTGTGAGGGCCGGAGGAGGAAGGCGAAGCCTGCCAGATGCATGGCCTGCAAGCCAGGACGGGAATCTGAGCCATGTTGAGGAGACCCAAACCCAGTGAATGCACTGGTTGAGGACTCCCGGAACTGGGGAGTGTGGTGTGAGCAAACAATCACAGAGCAACGGAGAAACAGTGTTCCAGAATGTTTCAACCAGTTCTGTGGAGAGTGCAGGGGGAGGAGGAGGGGGAGAGGGAAGTGACTCACCCCCTCACTGTGCCCTGTGTGGGGACACCAGGAAGGCTCAGTGGGAGGACTGGATCTGGGCAGGGTTTGCACCCACCCCCTCACCTTGGCCTCTGCCCCTGTCCCACAGGAGACAAAAACCCACTTCACAGGGCTTTCCCACATGACCATCACCGCACAATCAGCCGGTGCCAGCTGTGAGGTATCATTTCAATCAGCAATTATTTTTTTTTTGAGAATTTTTAATATTTATTTTCCATTTATCGGCAGACACAACATGGTTGTTGGTATGTGGTGCTGAGGATCGAACCCCGGCCGCACGCATGCCAGGGGAGCGCGCTACCGCTTGAGCCACATCCCCAGCCCCAATTAGCAATTATTGATGGACACAGGATGAATGTATTTTTAAACTCTTTCCAAGAAACTTACCAGAAACCCTTCTGGTTTGAGCTCTGGGTTTGGAATGTTGGCATTCCCACCTCAGGGGCTAGCCTGGAACCCTGTGGAGGGAAGACTTGAGGAGCTGGTGTGGGCTGGACCTCTGTCTGGACACCAGGATCT